AATTGAAAATGGAGGTCAGAAGGAGCCAGTCTCAGGATTACTGGGAACCCTGCATTGCTAATGGGATCATGGTGTGCTCACATCATTTGGGTGACATGGGTGTGCTATAAGTCATTTCCCATGCATAGAAGTAATTTATTCATTTTGCTTCCCTTGTATTGACAGATGAAACTCAATTTCAAAATGGCTTCCATGGAGAATAGCACCGAAGTAAAGGAGTTTAGACTCTTGGGACTGAGTGACACCCCAGAGCTGCAAGTCCCCCTCTTCATAACATTCACTCTCATCTATCTCATCACTCTCGTGGGAAATCTTGGGATGATCACGTTAATTCTGCTGGACCCTTGTCTCCACACGCCCATGTATTTCTTCCTCAGTAACCTCTCCCTGGTGGACTGTGTTTACTCCTCAGCTGTTACTCCCAAGGTGATGGCTGGGTTCCTCACGGGGAATAAAGTCATCTCCTATGGGGGCTGTGTTGCTCAGATGTTCTTCGTTGTGGCTTTTGCCAGTACAGACTGTTTCCTACTAACTGTCATGGCTTATGATCGTCATGCGGCAGTGTGTAAACCCTTACATTACACCACCATTGTGACCGCCAGCGTGTGTGCTCGAATGGCCATAGGATGCTACATCTGGAGTTTTGTCATATCTGCCGTCCACACTGGATTTACCTTCTGCCTCTCTTTCTGCCATTCCAATGTAGTCCATCACTTTTTCTGTGATATCCTCCCAATCCTGGCTCTCTCCTGTTCTGATATCTACATAAATGAAATTGTGCTTTTTGCCTTAGGAACTTTCAATGTCCTGTTTGCACTTACAGTTATCTTGACCTCCTACCTGTTCATATTCATTGCCATCCTGAGGATGCGCTCAGCAGAGGGGCGGAAGAAAGCCTTCTCTACTTGTGCTTCTCACCTCACTGCCATAACCATGTTCTATGGAACACTAATCTTCATGTACCTACAACCCAGTTCTAGTCATTCTATGGACAATGACCAAATGGCATCTGTATTCTACACAATAATAGTCCCCATGTTGAACCCTATTGTCTATAGTCTAAGAAACAGAGAGGTTAATAATGCTTTCAGAAAAGCCGCTAACAAAATGAAGGTGCTGCTCAGCACATAGTTTTAATTAGAGAAGTTACACAATCTGTATAGTTAATCAGTTGTCTATTTTATGCAACAAACTACCACAAGACTTAGTGGCTTAAAACAACAGCTTTTATTGCTCATGATTCTAAGGCTCCGCTGCTTTCACATGGGCTCACTC